TTGGGGTTAAGCCATAAGCTCAATCAAAAGTACAATATCGAGTAAAAGGAAATCAGAAACACACACGAGCAAACACACAAATTTACAGTAGAGCTACATTCACCTGCAATGCAGATTTTCATTATGGAGAAAAAAGCGATTTAAAATAGCGATCACATGCTTCTCAGTAACTCTTAAAACACCCCCTAAAAATTCTTTATGTATATGTAAGAATAATAGGACGTCCTAATGCATGTAAGAATGACTAATACATGTAAAGGTCAAACAGTAGTCAAGGGAAAAAGCCTACAGTATTATCAGGCTTCTCACAGTTTAACACGTCTGATATGCATATTTGCGTTATTCTTAGTTTGAACATTATGTACCTGCAGCTAAAATTTAATTTCAGAACATACCAATTGTAATGTTACCGGGAAGACCGTGCCATTCTATAGTCCATCCTCCACATTGATTACCAATATTGTGAGCATGGCTCCCGGCCACAAGTATCTTCGGTGCTTTCTTTGGAAGGGGAAGCATCGGCCCATCATGATTTTTCCCGTTTTTCAGAAGGACAAGTGATCTCCTCACAGATTCTCGGGCCAACTCTCTATGTTCCTGTTCAGAATATAATTGATAAAAAAAACTATTTATGTTTATTAAATAAATATAACAGAAAAAATAACTTCAAAGAAATGCTACAATGTACCTGACTTCCGATTTGATCTACTAAGGTGAGATCAGCTATTGGGTTCTCAAATAGACCCAAAATAAATTTAATCCTTAGTATCCTCTCAACAGCATCATCAATTCTGCTCATAGGGATGACATTTTTCTTCACCAGTAAAGTCAGGTCATCAATGAACTCTATGTATTTCTCAGGAAGTAGAACCTACAATAAAACCAACTCAGTAACAATTTCCCAAAGTCAGAGATTGTACGTGTTTGTTTATCCCTGGTGGACAGGACTGAAATGTATTATCAATAAGATTGCCTTATTTTTCATCTTTAGTACAGTTCAGTAGTATTCAATCCTCCCTACCAAAGAAGTCGTTAATGTGTAGTCCTCTACTTATCAGTGTTTTACAAGTTGAGGAGAAACATAATTGATTGATATGAATTCCGATCTGTCTTACTATTTGAGCCATAACTAAATGATCAATTTACATTCCGATATAGCTGATAACTACATTTATGTTTTGTATAACTACATTTATGTTTTGTTGATCCAAGTAGACAAAAAAAATATAATATATATTACACTGACCATGTCAATTCCAGCAAGAATACTAGCTTGAACTGAATAAGTATAGTTAGCATGCGGTGGGGAGGTAATCTTATCAAGGCCCTCAGAATCTGATATGACAAAACCCTAGACACAACCACAAAATAGCATTTATTAGGACAACAGTAGAAAGTTTCATTAAGAAATAGGAATATTTTAATGAAGTTTTCAACGTGACTTCTCACTTTGAATTTGAGCTTTTTCTTGAGGTATCCAGTGATAAGATCATAGTTAACATGCATCTTCATCCCGTTCAAACTTGATAAAGATATCATCACTGTTGCCACACCCTTTCTAATGGAATCGAGATATGCAGGCATATGGATGCGAAGCAAGTCGTTCCAGTCTATGACAGTGTTATTCTCATTGATACCATTGATCGTGCCACCATCTGCTACAAAGTGCTTCGCACATGCTGCAACTTTCGTCCTTGATTAATGGTAAAAATGAATGAGGAAACTTCTAATGATTATTCCAAATTGAATGAAATAAGCATATACTTTTCTTTTTTTTTCCAATTAGACATGTGACTATATTCATATTAGTCATTTTATTAATTCGTAAAAAAAGACAATTATATCCATATTTGAGGGGAGGGAGAGAGAGAGAGAGAAACAGATAAGGAATCCCCCCACATGACCCCCCCAACCCCTCCTTTTCGGCTTTCACACCTCCACGACAATTACAACCCCCATTTTGTAAATTTGGAATATAAACAAGGCAGATTATGTTTATTAAAACATTTGGGTAAAAACAAAAGTCAAAATAATTTAAGGAAAATTATAAGAAGTTCACGTCAAATTTGTTATGCATCTACCACATGCACAAACTTATGGTCCCCATGCATTAGAATAACACATTGTGGTCCTAGATCAACTGTTGTTACAGATTGTCAATCATTGCGCCTCAATAAAATTAGCCCATGTTTGGTAGAGATTTTTTTAGAATAGATTTTCAAAAAAGTAATTTTTTTGGAGAACTATTGTGAAAAAGGAGGAAAAAGTTATGGATTCATGTGCAAAATTATTTTACTAGAGAATATATGGTAGAAGATGAGGACCAAACTGGGGCTTAATATTTGTCTGTTGTAAGCTCGTGAATGTTTACTTGTATAGTGAAGGAATAGGACAAGAAGGGAGACAAGGCATAGAGATTGTACCTCCCATTTATAAATGGAAAATTGTTTGGATAGTTGGTTGGTAAATCTCCTTGTAATCCAGGAATTATCTCGGTCATTGCCTGAACTATTTTATGATCTTCACTGTAGCTTTCAAAACAGCGACCCCATCTTGGGTCCCTGCAAACCTGTAAAAACCGATAAATAGACTACTTCGATAAAAACCTGATAGAATGCAAAGGAGTAGCAGTTTTGTTAATTTAATTTACCGCAATACAGGGAGCAAAAGTGTATGGGATGCCCGTGGCCCTAACTTCAAGAGCAGTCGCCGCCCCTATTTTCTTAACAAGTTCGGGATCCCTAATCAAAGTTCATATGATTTCAATCATTTATAAACAACAGGAGAAGGGATTTGACTCAGTAAGATAAAAGCACGAATTTCCAGTATTTCAGCAGAGAAAATCACAGGATTTTCTTGAAGACAAACCTATTGATAACAGTTGAAAGAAAGTCTCGATAAGTTGGAAGGCAATGAGAAATCAGAACTGGCTTCCTTAACAAATCATATTGAGCATATCAAACTTTCACTCAACTTTTTACAATTCGAGAAACTACT